AAAATTATTTAAAAAATTATGTAAACGCGTAAGAGCGATAAGATCAAAACAAGCGTACATTTTTTACTTATGTTAAAAGCTTGTAATATATTCAATAAGAATAAAGTTAAAAGCCCTAAAAAGTAGTCGAGCCTTCATTGAGCTCATTTTGTATGCACTTTACCCTCTTTAGGTTATAGCCATCATTAATCAGTAGTAAAAATAGTAAAATTACTAAATTAGCAACTGTTTTTAGGCATTCAACTCTGCTGAATTCATTAAAACTTATTAGGCCGAGAAAAATTCACTTCACAACTAATAGCCGTCTTCATACATATTCATTAAATATAATAATAATACAAAATATACAAAAAAAATTAGCTTTGAAAATTTTAAGACTTTATTTATGTGACTTTGAATTGAATTTTTGCTGAAAAAAAAACAAAGAAAAATTTTTAAATATAAAAAATAATGCATAACAAAGAAAATTAAAAAAATAAAATAAAGGCACAAATGTCAATGAAATTATAAAACAAGCAGCTGCATAAATAAAGAGTATGTATGTATTAAGAAAAAAAATAAAACAAGTAGCTGCATACATAAAAAGTATGTATGTATTAAAAAAAAATAAAACTACTAAATAAACAATTAACACAATTAAAATTAAGTCATAAAAAATACTCACAAACACTTATAACCTTAGAAAGTAACTTTTAACTACATACTATAACGTATTTGTTTTTATAAAAATATAGCTGATTCTAATTTGATTTTTTATACAAATATAGAATCTTCAGCATGTTTACTGTGTTATATAAAACAATATGTACAAATTTTTACAACAACGTTCAAAAAAAAAAACAAAAACAAAAAAAACGGCTCGCAAAATTAGCGCTAGTATAATAAAACAATCCACTTTGAATTTTAATACAAAAATGCTAAAACTAACAATGACACCAAAGGGCTCAAGATCGCGACATAAAACGAAATATCTGAGTAGCTGGAGAAAATTCAACAAAGAATACGTGTAAAGTGTAAAAACCTAACTATAGCGAAAAGCCGGCATTTCAACTAGACTTTCTCACCTGCCGCCCTTACAGACGGTCTGATAGCCGGCTAGGTCAGTCAACGCAACCGACAAAAACAATTGCGACGCTATTTTCTAAGCTTAACGTCAGCGATATTTACCATTCAAGCCGCGTTTGTGGCGCTGAGCAGCATTCTCAAGTGAATATTTAAGTGTCTGTGTGTGTGTGCATATAGTTGAAAGAAGAAAAAATATCTAAAGCGCTAATAAAATGTGTGAATAATACACGAAGAAATAGAGTATATACAGCGAAGAAAGACTCACCCAACCACTTATTTACATACATACGCTTATTTACAACAATAAAGCAATAACAATAACCAAAGAAG